TTTTCTCTAATGCCACAACTCAAAGGCATTATTCTTTTCTTATCTTTATTCATTGTCTAGCTTCTAGCTGCATAGCAGTCGATTGAAAAGAACATGAACTGAATCAGGTGCACCTTAGTTCTTAAACTAACACCATTACTCCTCAATAATTTGGAGAGGTCCCTGAGTGCAAACTTCCGCAGTGCAGTACGCCTCTTGATCTTTTGACACTGGTATCAATTATGTTGATTGTGGATCTAAGTAAGACATAGTTGTTGACAGTCTCGATCTCTTTTCCATCTGTCATAATGTTACCTGTAGGTCCAGTGGGAGAATTCTTGTTTTCTTCACATCAAGATGCAGTCCATATAGAAGGTTGTCATCTTGATCTTCTGCAGCAAGTGCTTCAAGTCTTCCTCACTGCCAAAAAGCAAGGCTATGTCATCCTGTACGTTGAAGGACATCACACTTGGGAAGGTGGAGGGACAGCGAAAGAAAGGAAGAACCTCAGCCAGGTGGATTGACACAGTCACGGCAGCAATGGGCTCAAGTGTGTCAGAGATTGTGAAGATGGCACAGGATATGGCAGGGTGCAGATCTGTTGTTCATGGAGTTACTTTGAGTTGTACTCGATGGCACTTAACAACAACATCATTGTATTCTTATGGGAGATGGACGGGGCAGCCTCCTCCCATGCAGTTACTGCCTCTGAAAACCTGCTAGAGGGTCTGCTATGAATTGGCTTCAACTCAAACCCCCAAAACAACAGTGTACTCAGATTTAAAAAAAAAAAAGAATTGGTGCCTATGAATTATGATAGTAAAGAAGAATATTTAATATGGATTGACAAAATCCTTGTTGTTGATCTTGAATATATATTAGATAGCTATAAAAAGCATGTAATTTACACTAAAATCATAATTTAAAAAAATAAAATTAAATAGTATAACTGCTCTGTACAGTAGATTCCCCCCACCCCCATGTAACTGGGTGATTCTGTAGTTATCTTTTTAATTTCTTTTACTGTTGTAAATTCAAGAAGCGATTTTAAAAATATTCAGTCTATCCAGAATTCTGCCAGAATTCATGTAATAATTCTTCCTAGTCAAGGTGAGTTTTTATTTAATATACTGCTATGTATGGTTAGCTGTGTGTGACATCAAGGATATCATCCTTAAAGAGAGCCAAAGGTCCTTACAGAGACACAGGAAAAAGTGAAGAAAAAACCCCCAAATGGATGTCAAAATAGAGTCTGAAAATGGTGATAGAGTGTCTAGAAGCTAGAAGAAAGGGAAGATAGGGAAGATGTACTGAATTAAAAGAGCTGAACAGAAGCTTTCAAAGGGGAGCTTGAGATCACAAAGTAATAGAATGTGCTGAGAGCTGGACTCAGAGAAAAGGAAGAACTTGCTCAGCATTTCTCGAGCTCAAAGAAGTGGAAAAACAAAGTCAAGTTTCAAGTTGCAATGCTTCCAAATGCTATGGGGGAAAATCTTGAATGATCCAGAAAGCATTAAAGAAGATAGAATACACCGAGTCACTGTACTAAAAAGAATTGGCCAATGCTGAAATATTTCAGAAAGTACCATATGGTTATGAATTAGTTCTAATGGAAGAAGATGTTCAAGCTATGCTGAAGGCCTTGGAATAAAATAAGGCCCTCGAATTGATAGAATATCAATTGACATGTTTCAAAAAAAATAGATCCATGCCTGGAAGTACTCACCTGTCCAAGCCAGCTAGTTGCCTGCCCAGTTGACTGAAAGAGATCCATTTTTGTTTCCATTCCCATGAAAAGTTATTCAACAGAATGAGGAAATTAGTAAACAATATTAATAATGTATGTAAGCAAAATATGGCTGAAGGTAGTAAAAAATGGCTAGAATATTGACAGCTGCCAGAAGTTCAGGCTAGGTTGAGAGGAAGCTGTGACACCAGGGATATCATTGTTGATGTCAAATGGATCCTAGCTTAAAGCAGAGAATACCAGAACACCTAGTTGACTAAGCAAAGCCATCGGACTTTGGATTATTTAAAAAAAATGGCTAACAGGAAATGAAAAGACATATTGTGATGAGAAAGTCAGCTGTTAGGGGCCTCTCCAAAGTGCTGAAGAGCAATGGTGTCACTCTGGAGACTAAGGTGTGCCTGATATATGCCATGGTCTTTGCAATCACTTGCTATGTGTCAGAGAGTTGGACTATGACTAGGGAAGATAGAAGGAGAATTGATGCCTTTGAACTGTGGTGCTAGAGAAGAGTATTGGATATACCATGGACTGCTAAGAAAACAAACAGATTCATACTGGAGAGGGTTAAACCAGGCTGCTCCTTGGAGACAAGGATTCTGAGGCTTCATCTGACATACATTGGACATGTTGCAGGGAGAGACCAGTCCTTGGAGAGCGATGTCATGCTTGGGAGGGTAGAGGGACAGTGCAGGAGAGGAAGACCCTCTATGAGGTGGATTGATTCAGTGACTGGTACAATCGGGGTAGGTTTGTTGGAGACAGTGAGATTGACACAGGACAGAGCAGAGTTTAGGGCTGTTGTACATAGCGTCACTATGAACCATGGGCGACTTGGCACGTAACTACAACAGCAACAACTTTGAGAAGAATGGGAATCTCAAAACACTTAGTTGAAACCTGTATTAACATTCTGTTGTCCAAACAAAGCAAGAGAACACTACATGGCTTACAGTCAGGAAAGGTATGCATCAGGACTGTATGCTCTCTCTTATTCAGTCTGTATGCGGCACTAATTGTTCAAGAATCGGACTCTGAAGAAGAATATGGCATCATGTTTGGAGGATGACGACTCAACAACCTGGCTTATGCAGGTGATTAAACCTTGTTTGCTGAAGAGTTAGAAGAACTTGAAGCACTTGTTGCAGAAGCTCAAAGCTGACAAATAGCCTTCAATATGGATTACGTCTCAGCATCAAGAAAACAAAAATTCTCATCACTGTATTACTAGGCACTACGATGATTGATGAAGAAAATATTTAAACTGCCAATGAATTAATCTCATTTGGATCCACAATTCAAACCCTTGGTACCAACAGTCAGGAGATCAAGAGACATATTGCATTGGGAGAGTCTGCAGTCAGGGACGTCTCCAAATTACTGAGGATCAACAATGTCAGTTTGACTATTCAGGTGTGCCTGATTCAGGCCATGGTCTTTCCATCACCTTTGCATCTGAGAGCTGAACAACAAATAAGGATGACAAGAAGAATTAATGCTTTTGAGTTGCGAAGTTGGAGAAGAGCACTACATATTCCACGAACTGTTAAAAGAACAAACACACATGTCTTGGAGAAAGTACAGCTGGAGTGCTCATAGAGGCAAAGATAATAAAGCTTCATCTCACATACTTTGGACTTGTTGTTAGGAAAGGCTATTCCTTGAAGAGGGACATTGTTCTTGGAAAGTTGGAGGGTTGGCAAAAGAGAGGAAGAACCTCTACCAGACAGATTGGCACACAATCCGTGACTACAACAATGGGCTCAAGTATGGCAAAGATGGTAAGGGTGGCACATGATAGGACAGGGTTTAGATCTGTTGTTCATAGGGTCACTATGTACTCAGTGGCACCTAACAACAGCATATGATTAGCTAATATTTAGTATTGTCATAGAATTTACTAAGATCATTGGTGTAATCTTTGTATGTGTTTTAAAACATGGGAAATTAAGATATAGTAAAAAAAGTATAACTGATGTGAATGCAGCAGAGTCACTTCCACTAACTCCACAAGGGAAAATAATACTGCCATCCACAACGTAAAACTGATTTTTATTTTTTAAATTTTTATTTTATTTTATTATTTTTTGTTTGTGTATTGTCAAATCAGGTCTGACTGGTACAGGAGGAGATTGCCCCTCCTTTTCCAGCAGAGCATCTGGTGGATTCGAACCTCGCACCTCTGGGATTACAGTGCAGCTTCTTGCCGCTATGCCACCAGAGCTCCCTGTAAAACTGACTCTTATGAAGTCAACACATGCGGCCATCGTCCTAAACCTCCTTCTGTCAACTTGAGCACCATTTGCACTTCCCAGGGTTCTTGCTGCTGTGCTGCTGAATCTAGTGACTCCTTACCGTGACCACACAGAACTCACAGACATAGTTCGTGATTATAGTTTATTAGTGGAGTTGTATACTGTAAAGACAGAAGGCACTCATAGTTGACCCTCCAACTGGTGTTCAGAGCCGATAGATCAAACAGGAGGAGACTGCCCATCTTTCTTTTGCAGAGCAGCTGGTGGAGTCAAACTGTGTGCTTGTAAAGGAAGTAACAGGTTACAATTCAAACTTGAAACCAGATACAGTCCTTCACTCAGAAAAAGCTTCTCAGACCTGCTTTTCAGGCCCTCTTACCTTCAGCCTCAAAATGGTGATCCCTTGTTACAACACCCTTTTAGACTTGCCAGTTACAGGGTCTCATCCTATGCCCCGCCATCCTTTAGTCCTAAGTGAAGACTCCCTACCCTGGATCCTTGGGGCAGCAATTCTAGTTCAGCTTTGTTTCATGTTGGTTTGTTTCTCTGCCACCTCTCCTGCTGCTGGACTTAGTCCATCTTTCAAAGAAATTTCTGTCATGAAAGAACTACTGAACTCTTCTAATAGAGTTGAGATACCTGTTTTCTGCCTCTGAAACTGCTCGATTTAAGCCTAACAGCATGGCAAAACTGACCAGTTAATTCATTAGTAGTCTATACGCGTTATTTACATGTAATCCCTGAAAAGAGGCTGTTTACCTGTTCACATTTTTTATCACAACCCCACCCTAGCTATGTAGTGAAGATCAAAGCCAATGGCTATAAAAGCCATGCTGAACAATGTCTACTTCGTCACAGATACCAAGACTCTTAGTATAAATAGATATAATTTTTATGACACAGATGTAATTTTAAATTGGTTATTTGGATAATGAAATCATAGACCAAAACAACTTTTCAAGTCCTCAAAGGAGAAAGATAAATTTACTTCCATTCTAATAGTAATATATTTTCTGCAGGATAATTCTACAAGACAATCAAAATGTGGAAGCACTCAGAATGCTGGCTCTTTACTATTTGTGTAGAGAAGGAGATATAGAGAAGGTAAGTTGTGTTGTACTTTTAAAGTTCTTTATTAAAAACATGTCATTAACACACTCATACTAGAGCCTGGAAATGCTCCAATAATATATTTATAATGTGGTTGTTGTTGATTACTGTCGAGTCAAGCACGACTCATAATGACTCGGAACAAAAGACCTGAAGCCCTTCTACAACTATTGTCATTTATCAAAGTTTATAGACTTTCCAGAGGCATGTTGTTTAGGAAGTGTATGCCACTCCTGCTTCCAGAGGTTTCAGTTGATTATTAGGTTTATACCTTAAGTGGTGGTGGTTGTTTTTGTGTATTCTCGAGTCGAAACTGACCCTTACCCGACCCTCTCGTGGAATTTCAGAGGCACTTAATCTCGTGGGAGAAGATTGTCCAACTCCTGTGGAGCAGCTGGTAGATTCAAACTGCATACCTTTGGCATTGCAGCATAGCTTCTTATCACTAGGCCATCAGAGTTCCCTAATAAAATGTTTAGCTTTTTAAAATCAATTAGCAAAGCAAAAATATTAGTCAAAATTACCACTGGCTATCTTTAAGTCAATTGCTGTATATATGACTTTTTTAAAAAACTTTCATGCTATTATGTAATGTATGATATAAATAAATATTTTATCTTAAATTTATCCCTCCTGAATTTAAAAACCATCTTAGGTAAAGGTTTGAGGCCTTGAACACAAAAGAACAGAGACCAGATGAACTGTGGGAAGATATCAAGTTAGTTAATATGATGGTGCATAGCACTTTCCATGTTAATTTGATAACAAAAATGTTGGTGGTTTGAATATACCAGCTGCTTTCAAGAGGAAGATTTACAGCCTTAGAAACCCAATAGTAGGTCACCATGAGTAAGAATTGCCTACATGACAGTGCATTTGGCTTGATTATAAGTACTTCATTATTATTATCAGTGCATCTTGATTGCATGTTCGATCTACCTCTGACTGTAAAAGTTGGTAGAAATCATCTATTTCCTCTTCTTTGGCTCTGGTTGTTGGTGCATATATCTGAATGATAGTG